GCATGAATTTCATGCACTGGGCCTCTAGTGATGTTATAAATATCCAAATGGCCCTTGGAAGAAAAAAAGTTCCCCATGAACTTAGTATAATTATATGATAAAATATAATCACAGACTACACCAGGAACTATGGGAAAAAAATTTTTAAGTGTTTGCAAGTATGTGACATCAGGCACTAATCCCTTCACTATCTAGTTATTAACAGCAGTATGCGAGAAAAAGAACTGGGGTCTCAGCAGACCAAAGCTCAATGAGTCATTGCTGAGACGGGGCTGTCCAAAAACCTTATTTTGATCCTGGGTGCACTGACAGAAATGCATGGTCTAAAATACAGTGCTCTTGTCACACCCCTTGTGTACAGCCCTGGGCACTATACTGTAAGAATGGGCCCTGGCAGACATGTCACATAAAACAAGGAAGAGAAAACTAGGACACCTTTCAAGGAGCTTAAGCAAATACATAAAATTAACAGGTGACTAAATTATACTCTAAATCCAACCACTACCAGTTAGGTTGGAGGTAAGTAGCAAATATCCCCTCCTCTTTAAAGAGAGGGAAACTAAAATAAGGAGTCCAGAGTGAGTTAATTCTCAATGCTGAAAAAAAAGTGAACTGAAGATGTGTCAGTATACAGTTAGTGTGTCCAAAGCAGAGACCCACCTAGATAACTCAAGTTCCGGATAGGTCTTTTAGTTTCACATTTATAGATTAACTAGTTAACCAAAATTTCATTTTCTCTTTTGTTTACACAGCCCTAATCTTAGAAATTCTTACTACAGGTCATTTTTAAAACCAGCTTCAGCCGAAACCGGTTTGGCTCAGTGGATAGAGCGTCGGCCTGCGGACTGAAGTGTCCCAGGTTCGATTCCGGTCAAGGGCATGTACCTGGGTTGCGGGCACATCCCCAGTAGGAGATGTGCAGGAGGCAGCTGATCGATGTTTCTGACTCTCTATCTCTCTCCCTTCCTCTCTGTGAAAAATCAATAAAATATATTAAAAAAACAAAAAAAACAAAAAACCAGCTTCAAAGAAATCTATAATCAAATAATAACTTTCCTTGGTCCTTCAATTTTTTAAAACGGTAACCCCTAAATAAGATATTTTTAAAATTTTCATTTTCCTCTATCTTCCTACTATTCACATCTCACTTTATGTTGCAGGCAGCTCTGGCAATGAAGACACCATAGAAAATATTATTTATAGTAAATTTTATTTTCACTGATATTTCATTTAACATAATTTCAAAGTTAGGCCTGTGCTCTAAAATGAACAAAAGAACAGATACACAGTTTCTCTAAGTAGGGTATGGGGTTTCAGGGCCCCCAATGTTGACACTTAACATTTACCCCTTGAGATTTATGTAAAAATACAAAAAGAAGAAGTAATGTCAACATACAAGAATCAAATTATATGAGGGTATTATAACAATAAGCATTTATGTTGTAGGATACCCACCTCTTTAGGGCTGTAATAATAATGATTAATATTTTTCCCCTGCAGAGATCAGTATCTTTTTTTTTTAAAGTAAAATGTCAGTATATGTGAAAATGCTGCATTTATTTCTCCTAATAGACTAAAAATAGTGGAAGTTCTTAAATTCTTCAGGAGTCCAAGCTGGGACATGACTATGACTAATGGGGTTTGCTGAACACACTAATCCCAAGTTTGGCGACCATCAGCAAACTGTTAAAAAACAACAACACAAAGCAAAAATGTCAGGTAACGAACAGAACAGGCACTTACTATTTTTTTTAAAGGATTAGGATTCTGCAGGTCTCTCACCCACATAGTGAGCAGGTGCCAAGCAGGCAGAGATGGGACTTCCATCCCTGGGGGCACCAAAGAAAAAACATGGCGCGGGCAGTCTTGTGCTGAGGCCTTAAAACAGTACGTACAGCTGGCGATCCTGATCTCACTGCCAATAATTCAGAGATGAGAAAACTGGAGGCTGGGGAAACCCAGGCCTCCCCACGATCACAGAACTAGCTAATGGTGGATCTGCAGCCTCCTAGTTTACTGCTCTCGAAATCGGTCTGCACTGACTACAAAACATTTTGCTTGGCAGCATTATAACTACAACCAAAATCATAGCTGTAAGTAACCCTTTCCCAAAACAGAGTTTTAAAAATTCCCCTATCTTCAGTGTCTCTTTACTATGCTTAGGACTACATTAAAAAAAAATCTGGTTTGGATTTTATAATCAGTTAATTAGAAAACAGGAATCAATAAAAATTTCCTTTTAGCGAAATTTTGTATAATAAAGGGCATCCAAACAACTAAGAAATATGAACCCACACTGAATGAGCAACCATTATAGCTTAGCACTGAGGCTTCTCCCTCTGTAGGGAGGAGCCAGGATGGACCAGAGAGCAAATGTGAAAGCAAAACTATTTCCATAGTGAATGAATATATTTCACTTTTTCACTTTGCCATTAAATCAGCTATTTTTGCAGCTTCTCCTATTTGTGCATAAATTAGATCATTTTCGTTGATGCCCAGCATCAGGTATATTGAAACAAGTAAATCTGAGGGTGTATAAAGTATTATGAGCATTAAACTAAAATCTATGTGGATGAAGAACAGCAACATAACAGAAAGTACCTGGCACCTGCAATTAAGCCCGCAGGCATAAATTTTCCAGAGTGGTAGAATCTCATTCCCATAATGCCAGCCAAGGTTCCAGATGTAACTGATGGGAAAGAAAAAGAGGCAAAGATCACCACACCTTGTATTTGGGAGAACTAAAATAAGAGACCGAAGTCCCACCCTTCTTTCAAGGGCCACACCTCATCTCAGACCTCTCATTACCCACGTCCTGGGAGACTAAGCACAAATACTAGATATAAGGCCCTCACAGTCCGGGCCCAGCCAATCTGTACCATGGAGAGCAAACTGCAGAGAAACTGGAGCATGTAGGGATATCGATTAAGAAACTTCCTCAGGAATGCAGGGAAAAGAGAGGGATGCCTGGGATGAGGAGAGCGGCCATGGAGGTAGAGGAGATAATCGGGGACGTGTGTTCCAGGTAGTGTTGATACGACTTGCTGACGAGTTAGAATGACGGAGGGGAAGAGTGCAATCAACACCCGAATGGAGGGGGAACACCCGAAGACACAATGTGTGTGAGCAAGTGAAGTCAGGCCTGGAGACATCTAGATTTCAAGCAGACAACTGTACACATATGAGTCAAGCTTGGCCCTAAACGGTTTGCTCAGTGGAGAGAGCTTCGGCCTGCAGACTCAAGGATCCCAGGTTTGATTCTGGTCAAGGGCACATGCATGCAAGGTTGTGGGCTCGATCCCCAGTAGGGGGCGTGCAGGGGCAGCCAATCAATGTTCTCTCTCATCATTGATGCTTTTATCTCTCTCTACTTCTCCCTTTCTCTCTGAAATCAATAAAAAAAAAAATATTTTTTTTAAAAAAAGAGTCAAGCTTGGAGGAGAGATAAATTTGTGAGTCATTTGTATATTGGTGGTAATTTAAGGCCTGGGCTTCAATGACATTGTCAAGCAAGAAAGTATAAAGAAGATTTAAAAAAGGCCCAGGCCTGAAGTACTTTAATGCTTAGGGGCAAAAAAAGGAGGAGAGGGGTCAACAAAAGAGAACGAGAAAATAAAAAGGAAGACCAGGAGAGTGAAAAATGGATTGGATTGGTATACTGTATTGACAGCAGCTAACAGGCCAAATAAAATGACTAATAAACATACACTGGATTTTGAAAAATACAGGTCACTGGCAGCCTCAGAGAGAGTTACGGATTTCCATGGCAAAAGGTACAGAAATGGAGACTGAAGTGGATCAAGAATGTATGAGAGGTGTGGAAATGAAGACAGGAAGTATAACAACTTTTTCTAGAGAAGTTTCTGAAGGGAAAGAAGAATGGCAGCAACTGAAAAAGGAAGTAGGTTCACGAAAGGTCCTCTTTTTTTTAAATGGGTGAGATGAGCACATCTGAATATCAATAAGAGGAATCCATCTGCAAGGTGGAATGCAAGTAAGAGATGGCATCAGTGACAGTGTAAAGTTCCCAGAAGGTATGGCAGAAGAAACCCAAAGCCGGGATGAAGGGATTGGCCTTGGAGAGGAGAGGAATAGGGCCAGGGAAGGACTGGAGGCCAATGTCATGAAGCTCGGAGTCCCCGTGTGATGACTGCTATTGTTTCTTCAAGTAGGCAATGAGGGTCATTTGCTAGAGTGATGTGGGATCACAAATGGGAAAGTAGGTCTGAAAGTCATTCTGGAGCTGGAGGGAGGGAGCTGTTAGGCAGAGCTGAGAGCTGGGCACCTCCTCCCGCCCCAGCACACCCCACTCCAGCCATTGTTGCCTTCCCTCCCCAACCCAGGCAGATTTGTACAAACCACTCTGTTAACATGCTTGTTCTCCACCACACCTGTAAGGGAGTTAGAGCTGCATGTTCTCTCATACTATGGGTTTGTGGAGACACTGAGGAACCCACACTCCCAGCAGACTGTCAGATACATGGGTGGAGCTCAATAAAACGTACCAAAAGCCACCCTGATAAGAAGTAATCTTCCCTCCCCTGCACTCCTCACTGTCTGTGCTACTCACAGGGCATATCAACAGCCCCGCAGAGTCACTTTTTACATACAGGCTCCTTGAAGGCAAGGCCTACGTCTTACATGGTTAGCTTACTGCCAAAGGGCTAATGATTTGAAAATGGGGAAAATGCAATATTGATCAAACTTAACCCAGACATGTGACCCTTTAGTGATGCTCAAACAGTCTTTAATGGGCAATCACAATGATTAAGAGACATATACTTGCCTTATACAAGTCTAATACTAACTTCACTGGGTAAATCTAAATTCATGAGGTATGAAAACCTTTCCACATTCTGTACATAAAAACAGAAACCAGCATAACCATCTCCCTCCCTCCCCATTTAAAAACCTCCCTTGGACTGGGCAGAAGCAGTGAAACTGTCTTAATGTGAGGAACCTGACACATCCCACCAAACTAGGGCCTGTGGTAGAGTATTCTGGATAGATAGCTGACTGGGGAGAGCGTGAAGCTGACATACCTAGGAAAACCCAAATGTTCCTTGGATCCTGAGACAGCTGATAAGCACCCAGGCCTGCTAAGCCACCGAAGAGGAGCCCAGCAGCCAGGGATGGGACGCTACCTGGAGGAAAGCAAACACAGGTCATATTGTGGTGTCAGGCACTCATTCATTGACAGAATCCACCAGCCTTCCCTTCCTGACAAAGGAAAATAGCAAAGGGAACTCCCAACACAGGTCACAACCAAGTTCTCAAGCATGAAAATGTTTGGGGGAGTTTGCTAAAGAGCTCAAGTAAAATTACCAGAGAAGTAAGGCTCAGATCATACCATACCACACACCACACCATACCACTCCTCTCTCCTCTAGTAGGGAGGGTACTTTCACCTAAGAAGAAAGGCTCCTACTCCTTATTAAAGCACCCATTCAAGAAACAAAAAATTATGGCAATTTGTGGTCCATTCATGTATTGCCTTTATGTTTTATTTTAAAAGAAAAAACCATGTATTTGTATTTGCTGTTTGCACCCCTGAAATCAATTCCATATCATGTTTGAATGCCATACATTTTACACATGTACTATCCATGCACATGTATTTTTATGTGTGCATGTTTATCATCAGATCTTTTGTACATAGTGGCAGTATTGTAGCAGATGGGAAAAAATGTTTGGTATCTCAGCAATTTTGCATTTTTCTGTCTCAAATAAAAACATTTTGATCTAAAAAAAAAAAGAAAGAAAGAAAGGAAAGGAAAGGAAAATAAGAAGGGCTCCTAAACAGGCCTGATTAATCCGTCAAAGACTGGAACTGTACATGGACAGAACCTTGGGGAAATCCCAAAAGGAGAAGGAAATGGTTAGTAAATTAAAAAAATATTTGGAGAGTAAGATTCTGGTGTGTGTGTGTGTGTGTAGAGATATGCGGGCTCTCTGACACACCCCTGACAAATTTAATAAGGAGACTTCAAAAATTGAGTATGTGAAGACTAGACGTTTCCTGCTACTTAAAGAAAAGAGTACAGAGATGGCACTCGGGGTCAAATGGTAGCTGATGATAACAACAATCTGCTACCACTCCTGCCCAGCACCTTTAGACAAAGAGGCAAAAACAAGTGGTTGGATAAGAAGCCTGGCTTAGCTCAGCCAGAATAACCCAAAGGCAAGTGCAGGAGCAGCCACTACAGGAATTGCTACAGGACTGACAAGAAGCCTGAACTCAAGCTAGAGGGCCTAAAGCAAACCTGATTCAAATAAGACTGCGCTTTGGGGGCCCTGGGGACTCACTCTCCACCAGGAACAATGTGAAGATCCTAAGAGGTTAATCACTATAAACCATACCTGCTTTGGCATAGCCAATGATCCCACCAGAAGCAACCAGTGCTGCATAGCCAAAGCCAATCCAATGTAAAGGCACTCTGGAAACAAGAATAAAACATCAGTGCCAACCATGTCTTTAAAAAAACAAAGACCCACCATCACAGACTGGGACTAAAAGGTCTTCATTACAGAATAATGCTGTCACCGCAGAAATGAAAACAAAGCCCAGAGGTTAGATGGCTAACCTAAAGTCACACAACTAGTCAGTGGCAGAGACGGGACTCAAACCGTGACCTGCGTGTCCATCCTCCTGCACCCAGGCCCTTCTGCCCCAGCAGTCCACTGTGGGAGCCCTTTCCAGATGGGGACAAAAACGCGGTCTGAGAAGCTCCTGGCTACTCCACCCCCCTTCCCCCGCACTGTGCACTTACAGCGGGCCCGAGTCCTTCTGCATTGTTCTCTCTCGCGCTGTCCAGGAAAGAGACTACACCGCCGGCACCTGCAAGGAGGGTCTGGGTCAGAGGTGGTTACTAGCACAACCCAACAGTCAGGAAGGAGTCCGCGCTCCAGCTCCACCCTTAGCAGCTAAGAAGTAATGGGCAATTACCCAACCTCCCTAAAAGTCCGTTTCCTTCCCTGTCCCATGAGGATAACAATGACGCAACTTTATTGGGGCTGCTCTGGGCATTACTTGGCATAATAAGCAAAAGTGCTGAACCAATCACTTTGGTAATAACCTCAATTCTAATAACATAGGCCTACAGGAAACGGAACAAAATTCACTGACCAGCTCTGCACGGGCTGAGTTAACCTTCCAACACTTAACCAAGTTATGTATTACCAAAACGGAAAGCTAATATCTTCTGTGCCCTTAGTTCAACTACTTTAAGTTGCCCCTTTCAGAGGGGAAGGGTGCTGCTTTTCTTTGCTCCAAGAATCAAATTATTCCAATACTTAACGTTTGTAAAACTTTTAAACGGCTATTTACTTTTGCTACCGACTCATAGTTCTTATGAGGTGGAGAGGGAGGATAAAATATAGGAAAACTCAAGTCTAATTACATTACATACACCCTTGTTAAAGCAACTCCTAATTTCTTAAAGAAACGCATCTGACATCCAGTGAGGCTAAGACCGAACGCAACACCCACCCCCGCTTCGGTCCATTCCGTGGGTCTAACAGGAGGGGCGTGGATCCCGCCGGTCATTACTCACAGCGGCACCGAGTTACCTAGGTTTTTAGGAGAGGAAGCAATACAGTCTCCAGGGAGCTAACCAGCACTACGCTATTTGCCTCAAGACCTCAAGGCTTCCGCAAGACCCACAGCCTGTGGCATAGCCTGTGCTGAAGAAAGCAGAAAACGCGCGACCAGAAAAGCAACCGCGACGCAGCCCACAGCCCCGCCTGGCTCCAGGGGACGCGGAGCTCGGGCAGCAAAGCCCCTTACAAATCCCCCAAAGTCACAACAGGTTCATAAGAGTAAGTCCAAGTACCCGACCGCCTGCCCAGAGGTCCGCGCCGGTGGAGGACGAGCAAGCCGTGGGCGGGGACTCCGGCGCCGGAAATGTCACCACCACGCGCGCTCGGCGTTGCGGAAGCAGGCGGGCCGTGGGCGGTGCGGAGCGGGTGGGGCGGGACGGGTGAG